GGCAATCTGAATTCCTGGTACTAGACCTATTCTACAGGTCTTCTGTTTAGCATTTTGGAATTGCCATTTTAGTATAAACTTCCCTGCTAACTGTGAAGTGGGTATGTTAAGGAGCAGCTGATGAGGAGCCATGCTAGAAGCAAGTATCTAGGCAGACTCACTGCCATGGTGCTAAAAGGAAATTTGTGAAGTCCCAGATTTAGTGCCCCCTCATCCCCCAATTCCTTTGCTGCAAAAAAGCACAAACTGTCCCAAATTCTTCAGACATCAGAATTTTACTGTAAAGTACAAATCACTGTGGCTATCAGTTCTTTTTATGATTCACGAACACACTTTATAGCATTTCTAAAGTGTAGAGTTTTATTCCTGGTTTCTAGTTGATAAGATAAACTTCCCTGGCTTTCTATCTCCCTGTTCATCACTACCACCAGCACCAGTTGGTTAAATTATGGTCTGCTGCGCTAGAAAAGAGTGTATGCTATTCTTTAGAAGATACATGGAAGAGAATAATTCCATCTGTAAAGAGACCTTGGTTTACACTCATTTTGAGTTTAAACTGAAAACACATGTAATATCAAGCACAGAACAGTAACATTTTTATAGTCAACTGTGCTATTGGAAGCACTATATTTTATTTCATATATCCAACTTTTGTATGTGCCCTCTTTTACTATTTAACAGTGCTAAACAGTTATATATGAAGGTGTGGGTTTCCTCTGCCCCACACTTTACCGTATATTGATATGCTGATTTGTTAATATAGAATTTTGATTTTGTAAATGATGTCATAAGCTTCAGAGCAGTGAGAAAGCAGGCCTGTAGATCTTTACACTGTTATCTGACATTTGCACTGACAGTAAAAAATTTTAGGAATAAACAGGCTATGGATCCCTGATTCAGGAAGCTTTAGGCTTACTCAACAGCTTCTTGTCTCATTTTACATCACCCATAGCTCATACACTGGAGGTGCAGTGCCGCTGCCTCCTCCCGCTCTGGGACCCAAGATCATGCTTAACAATCAGCTCTGTATGGCGTATGGAGAATGAGGAGTGGGAGAGAACCTGTAATGACAGGCTGTGTCCATGGCACATGTCTCCCTCCCAGTGCGCTGTTCTTCCCAAAAGCACATTCCCTGGCTGCAGCCTGTGATGTGACTATAAAGGGGAACTTGGCATGGGACAAAATGTGCCACGATCTTCTCCTTTGAACCACGGGGTTTATTGCAGCTGGTCTTTAGGTGCTGAGAAGCCTATGGTTGAGGAAAACAGTCAGCTACTGGTGGTTTCAACTATAGCTGCCATGCTGTGGACTAAGACAATTACCAGTGATGCTCTAGTTCCTGAGCATCCGAGGCTGGGTTGCTATACTTTAGGAATTAAAAGCTATTTTTACTATTTGGCTGCAAAATTAATGAGTCATTTCTTAGGGGTGCATGACTAAAGTAATCACCTTTCTTTCATGTGAAAAGCAACAATCCTCCCTGTTTATATTAATTAATGATTTAATTGTATTTTTTGGAAGTGCAAAGGTGTTGGGCCCAGTTTTATGGCCAAACACCAGTGTAGAGATCTTCCTTATTTTGTCTTTCAGTTTCAGTTTCAAGATGGAATGTGACTTGCATGCATCTTCCGTAAAGTGACAGGTGGAAATAATAAATACTAGAATTATACTGATTAAAAGGAAGATCCAAAGGGAAACACATCCTATTATAGTATCTTACAAAGATGTGTTACAAGTGTTGGATTTACTGTAAATCTCTTCAGAAAAAATACAAAGTTAGGATTTAATAATTCTCAACTCTGCAATTGAAGGAAAAGGCTAATTTTCCATGGTTTTTTTTCTGCCAAGCATATTTCATATATATGAATTTTTCAGTTGCCCACAGATTCTTCTTTTTAATTATTAAAAAAACAAGAAAGGTGCTAGTGGGGGAGAGAAAGATGAAACTTTCAGAAAGTGAAATAAGTTTCAAGCTTCTTTATGCAATGGTTGCACTTAGATGTTCTGTTCTGAAAGAGTACAGGCTCGATATTTGGTTAAAATTCGTAAGACAATGACTGTAATTATACTGAAATTATAGCATAATTACACCAGTAATTTTTTATCCTACAATTACCACTAATTTATATAACCACAAAGAGCATGGCTGGGAATAATTATGGTGTGAACACAATGGTTCATGTGAACACAATGTACATCTGAGATACATATACATACATATATACCTACATACATATAGATGTGATTGTGTGTCTGTCTGTACATGTATGTAGAATTCAGATGTAGAATACACACGTGTGTTGCGTAGAATGGGAATAACTGGAATACCTGTATAGTTACTTCATATTTGTATTGGCATCAATTAATCATTAAAAAACATGACCTTACGGTAACCAGGTATCAACTGGACTGAAACTACACTGTAATTAATGGCTGTGTGATTATGTTGATATCCCATATTCTTAACACAAAACATTTTAACCCTCTATTGCACATAATTTTAAAAGTTGACATAGTGACTTTATTCTAATCTCGGTTACTTGCAATTGTTCATAATGTGCATGTGTTGAAATGCCACATTTAAAAAAAAAATTAATCATTGAATTATTTGAGTATGATGAAATGATTCCAAACTTGGTTTTGATGCTTTTATAATTCAAAAATAGGTAAGATGTAGAATTTTAGGTTTGTAATATTAGTTTTCTGTAAGAAATACTGAGAAATCACTACACTTTGAAGCTATTAGAAAGTCTAAGATATTAAATGTTCCACATTATTATTGGCACGTTTCACATTAGCTTTCACAAGAAACTGTTGAAAATATTTAAGTTTTTACAGTGCACTAACACCTTCACTACAAAGTGTAAGGAATCCTTATAATCTGAAGAGTAAGAAGGACAGATGTGAAGGAGAAAAAAGACAAAGGTAGAACACAATAGTACTGATGATCTTTTTGGTTCCATGATTTCTGTCTTGGTTTTTCAGTTTCGGGGTGTGGCTTTGTCTCTCTGCTTTACATGGCAGAAAAACGGAAGGGATTGGTTGCAGGAAACACAAAGAGAATGAGAGGCTGCGAAGGACCATTCGAGGCAGGAAGTGCAATGTTGATGAAAGAAGGAAATGAGAGCCATACGGGAAGCAGTCTGTCAGACAGGGTCAGGAGAGTTAGGAACAAAGAGTACTGTGCAATGGCATCATCAGTGAGCCCACTGAAATTACTTCTGTGACTATGTCTGCCAACACCAAACTCTGGTGGAGTCCTTACAGGAAAATGTTTATCCTTCCCCTTAGCTCATATAAACACTGAGTGATGGTGGGGAGGAAGATGACTGCATGGAAACTACGTCACTGAATGATGAGGTGTGAAATAATGATTTTTGTCCTACAGCAAGGCTAAACTACAGCTGAAAATAGAATGCAGATGTAAAGGACTTATTTGCCAATGTCGCTGCAATTCTACTTCTGCATATTTGGTAATTAAAGTAGAAATGTGTGGCTAAGTAAGTCAAGATATGCATTTACTGTTCAGGATGCTTTTGCAACATCATCTCTGTTGTGAAATCCCACTGGTCATGACAGTTCAGTTTTAACAGCATGTTCCTCTAACTTCCTCTCTTTAGAGGCAAGAAAGCTAATGCAGCCTAGCACACTACATACTCTCCTGCATTGTATTATTGCATCTGTAAACAGAAGGTTATATATTCAAATTCCTTCCACAGCTGCATGCCTGCACAGCAGTATGGTGAGGTAGTATTAAGTACTTGGAATGAGGCTCTCATTAGTGGCTTCTCAAGAAGATTCACTTTGTAAGCTACCAAGCTTAGTCAGTCAATTAACTTCTAAGCCTATGTACTATTGTGCTGACCTTACCTGCATGCAATAAAGTCAGGTTAATACACCTATGAAAGCATGTATCTTTGAACTACCTGAGCCAAGCAAGGCTTAGCAATATTTATGACCATTATACTGCCATAGATATATTCATCCATGAACAGACTTGTATGTTCCTAAGTGTCTTCTGTTCCTTCAGTAAGTGTCTCACATTCATGTGGTAATAATTATTGCACGGGTGGGTCTGTTTTATGATGGCATACATAAATATGTAATGCTATTGGTATGAACAGTGTAGACAACTGAGGGATGTTACAACAAATGTGTAACAACTCATTTCCTCCACAGACCAGTGATTACAGTGCTGGAGATTTCCTTCTAATGCAGGAAAACTCTCATTCTGAAATGGAACCATGTTGAGGTGGAATAGTGCAGGACAATCACATAATCATTGCCTCTTTTAAAGTACTTCAAGGTCTTTTTTTATCAAACTTATTAAAATGAAAAGCACAGGAAAAAAAATCTAGTCTTTTTACTGAAGCAAATGGGTTTTCCTTGGCGGTCTCCTGTATAGTCATGCTAGCTGGTGCAAACTGATTAACTTGAAACCCAACATAAGATCCTTAAATATGAACAGCTCACTTTTGTAAATATCCAACATCAAGAAGCAGAGAAGAGGCAAACTGGAATGAAAAGACAAATTGCACCATGTTAATGCTGGGGTATCCTACCAGTTGATCACTGGATATTACATTTGCCTTCTGATCTTAAACAGACAGATTACATGATATTTTTGCATTTTGAGACTGCCGTACTGCAGACAACAAAAAGTGTTAAGTGCTTAGGAGGTGAGATCTGTTTAAGAACCTAGAAATATAGTGACACTATCTGTATGTGTACCTGAATCCAAGTCACTTCTAGAAATATTTTTTTTTCCCCATGCAAAAAAAAAAAAAAAGAAAATACATTGAAATCATTGAATTGGACAGGAAAATGACAGGAATGGCAGGAAAAAAAAAACCCAAACACAACAAAACCCAAACCAAATTCTGGAAGGCAGTGGTAGTAATGATGCCCAGGATCTAACATCAATGGACTCCTCTTAAATTAACATGGCTAACAAAGGAAAGACTTGGAAGAAATTTGAAAACAGACCAGTGAGCCAAAATGAAAGTACAATAGCCTCAAGAGTGTTTATTCTTCACCTTAGAACCCACTTATTCTTTATAAAGAAAACCAAAGGAAAACTAGAGTCAATATGACTCACATAGTTTCAGGAAATGGCTGTATACCCATTGCCAGATCGTATCAAAAGAAGGAATGACCTCATTGCATCTGAAGACCAACACAGAAAAGACCTGTGTAACCTTCCTGCTGGTTTCTTGCTTCCCCCAGCAGCATTGACAAATATATCCAAGAAGCTGGCACTGAGTCATCTCACCTGTTTCAGTACTGCACATATGAGAGCCCTGCGGGAAACAGGGTCACATTGAATCCATGTATGTTTCAGATAAGCCATTCCGCTGTCTATTGCTCTCCATCTGGCATTCCTCCACACCTGGATCAGCTTCTCTGTTTACTTGTGTACAGCTTTCTCCTGTGCTCAAATCATCTTGACCTGATGTCACCTTCCTGTTCTAAATGCAAGTGCACTATGCAGTACAAGTGTTTGCAAGCAAAACGTTTACAAGTATATGCAGAAAAGTGTACAGACCTCCTCAGAGCGGCCACACTTTTCTCTCCTGTGCTTCAACGTAGCCCTATCAGGATCTCCCGGATAGATCCCTGTTCTCTTGAGAGAGGATCACATCCAATCCTAGCTGAGCAGCTTCTGAAATACGAAGACCTGCAAGCAGTTGGCAGTGCTAACACTGGAGGAAGGGTATTTATGGGACATGGACTGGGGCCACTACAAAGCAAAGGGTCACTGGCAGGACTGCAATAAGGGAAAGGGCAACACCAGCACTTCTGTTAATGCTATTGACATGATTGCCTGTACTACATGGAACAAATCCAGTTTTGACAGCGAAGGCCACCAGAAAACCCCAGCAGAGGTTCTGTAAAGTTTGAAGTTGGCTTCACAAAGTATCCAAACAAATTCAGCTCCTAATGAGGTGGCTCCTGTCAATGTGTGGTCCAGAAGCAGAGATCCATATGCTACAGATACTCCCGGAAACCCGGTGGAGACCCAGTCTGAAACTGGTACACAGAGCTCATTACCTGATGTGTTAGCACATGACTAAGCTACCTCATTCCTCGTAGTGTTTCAGTGATGTCACACGGTGAACAGTTAGCCTCTCTCTGCATCCTTGGGTTCTGTCTACACATCTTAGTGCATGAAATGCTGCATGCACCAAAGAATTAAATTTTCGACAGGCTCATTTCCCAGAGGTATATCCTGCAGCCTTTCACTGTGTAGAAACAGGAAAAATACAGGAAAAATAAATTTGCTTACAGTCCTTTTATTTACCTTTCACATTTTAGAATGCAAACTGACAAAAGTAGATCTCCTTGAATGCATTATAAGGCACTCACTGCAATTATTTATATTTTACTTATATCTATCTATATCCTTGCTGTGTGTGTGTGTGTCAAACTTTGGCAAATGCTTCACAAGACAAATGCTACCTTTTCTAGGTTTCCCACAGTGTGTTCTTGCTAATTCAGCCTAGAGACTTCAGCCTTGCAAACAGTATAATGCATATTTCCAAAAAGACCAGTGACTTTTGAATGAAGCCATTCTGCCATCTGAAACGCATCTCAAATAACACCTTCCACCCAGACAGCCTGCAGGTCTGAGCATGCAATTACAATTATGGCTGCAGATTCCCCCGGTGCTCTCCAAGGCAACACCAACTCTGTATAGGCTTGAAGGTTCCACAGAAATGAGCTGCAAGTGAAAAAAATGTCCTTTTCAAGTGCACTTCAAACTGGGAACAGGAATCATCAAAAAGTGATGAAGAAAAGCAAATTTCATCCTTGCTGGTGCTTGGCCTAGTATTTGGACAATAAAGATTTGTGCATTTTTTTTTTCTTCTGTATTTCCACCTGCATACTGCACTCCTAATAGATAGAGGCTGTCACCTGCTGAGTACCTGATAAAGCTCCAAGGAAGAGAGAGGGATGAAGGACAAACTTGCTGAGCTCATATCTGCATCTCAGCACAATGGCCATAAAGCTGACAAATGAAGAAGTCGGGTATTTCACAGCCTTCCAATTGCAATTCATTCAGTACATACCTATCTTAACTGTTAGAAAAGTTTTTCTACAACTGTTAAACATTCTTAATATGAAACTACCTTCTTCTCTTTCCACTTTGTTACTTCTCATACTATTCCAGTGGACATAATTATTCTGCTGCTTTTTGCAGCAACTTTTTCAATATTTGAATTGTAACCGCATTTCCCCTCATTCTTCACTAGACTAAACACATACAGTTATTCCAACTCTGGGTTAAGTTTTCTAGATTTCTTATCATTTTTGTTACTCATCTTTGGATTTTCTCCAGCTGACGTATATTTGCTTGGAGTGTAGTGCCCATATCTGGACATACTGTTTTATAGCTAAGATTTTACCAAGCTTTTCACTTGTTGTAAAGTGAAAGGAAATTCTGTCATTGTTCCCTATTCACTTTAAATTATCATTATTGTGTTAAATAAATAATATTTTTATTATGTAAAATTCTTCTTAGGAATTTTATTGGGAGTTCACTGACGTACAGTTGCCCCTGACTACATCAATTTATATAGTATTTTAAAATAGTTTCTTCAGTTTCCTTGGTGTAAGTGCATTCTTTTCCTATTGCTCAAACTTCCTCTCTGATCAAGAACAGTAGCTGCCTAGCTGAACAGGCAGAAATTGTGCATATCCATCCTCACAGGTGTGGTCGGTTAACTGTGGCTGGATGCCAGGTGCCCACCAAAGCCGCTCTATCACTCCCCCTCCTTAATTGGACAGGGGAGAGAAAATATGACAAAAGGCTTTTGGGTCAAGATAAGGACAGGGAGATCACTCACCAATTACCAACACAGGCAAAACAGACTCGACTTGGTGAAATTAATTTAATTTATTGCCAATCAAAAGTCAGAGTAGGATAATGAAAAATAAAAACAAATCTTAAAACACCTTCCCCCCACCCCTCCCTTCTTCCTGGGCCCAACTTCACACCCGGGTTCTCTACCTCCTCCCCCCAGGTGGTGCAGGGGTATGCGGAATGGGGGTTGCGGTCAGTTCATCACACGTTGTCTTTGCTGCTCC